AACATTCACTTTAAAGCATGACAGAAAAAATACATGGTTTGATTGTCATCGCCAGTTCTTGCCAATGGACCATGAGTTTAGAAAGATGAAAAATGCATTTAGGAAAAATAAGGTTGAAAGTGACCCCCCATCTCCATTACTCACAGGGCATCAAATTTGGGAGAGAGTTTCTCAATTACCTAAATTTACAGAAGCTTCACCTTCTTGACTTCCTGGATATGGTGTTGAACATAATTTGACCAAACAAAGCATATTTTAGGAGTTGTCGTATTGGAAGGACAATCTGCTACGACATAATCTAGATGTGATGCACATTGAAAAAAATTACTTTAACAATTTGTTTAACACAGTGATGGATGCTTAAGGGCAAGACAAAAGACAATCCAAAAGCTAGAATGGACATAAAGGAATATTGTAGGAGAAAAGAGTTATGGTTGCAGGAATTACAAAATGGTAAAATAGTTAAGCCCAAAGCCAGCTTTTCATTCACATTGGATGAGAAACGTGAAATTATTGAGTGCGTTAAAAATTTGAGGATGCCGGAGGGCTATGCTTCGAATTTAGGAAAGCAGGCAGATATGAATGAAAGAAAATTGATAGGTATGAAAAGTCATGCAGGATGGAGAAAAATATTCTTGTTACTACTACTAAGTTGGAGAAGATATTTCCATGTGGTTCTTTGATGTGATGGAGCATCTTCCAATTCACCTTGTACAAGAGGCCCGCCTCGGAGGTCCGGTTCAAACAAGATGGATGTATCCATTTGAGAGGTATCCATTTGAAATATTCACTAAGTTATATATATTCGCCAAGTCTTTTATATATTAGCATATATACATGCAGAAAAATTGGCAGTTCGAAGCAAACGATTAAGCAACGGGGAAGGATCGAAGGATCATTTGTTCAAGGTCATATTGGGAGAAAAACTGGTGATTTTTATTCTAATTACTTTGGTGATGATGTGTCATGTAGGAGAAATAGGCGCAATCGCAATGATGAAGGCGGTATTGATCCTTTATTTCCACCGATATCAATTTTTAATCAAAATGGTCAAGGATATCAATTTTTAATCAGAATGGTCGAGGATCTAAAAAACGTGGAAAGCGAGGCTTTACTGATATGGAAATGTAATCAGTTGTGATACATATTTTGCTTAATTGTCCAGAGATTCAATCATATGTCAAGTAAGTGTTAAAAATATGTTATCAAATTACATACTAATAAGTGTTCATTAACTAACGAAATACTTGAATGTAAAATGATCAGCTTGTTCGTAAACACATGGGGTAATGAAGCCATCTATACAGAATTTTCCAAATGGCTGAGGAACTATGTAAGTGTGCAATCACTAAGTATTTAATAATATATTCATGTTATACTAAATTATATTACTTGAAATAACAATCATGTAGGTTTACGATGAATACTCAAGTGTCCAACATTTGCAATTAGTGAAAGAAGTAGCACTTGGACCTGAATCTCAAGTACTGACAATGAATAAGTATTGTGTCAATGGTTTTAAGTTTCAAACTGAAGAAGTTTCTAGGAACAAGAAAACAAATAATAGCGGTGTCTACATACAAGGTGATGTTGATGGTACTGGTCAAACTATTGAATATTATGGTGTCATTCAAGAGATTATTGAAGTGAGGTTTCAGGTTGGCCTAAGAAGAAGATTGTATTGTTTTGGTGTGAGTGGTTTGACCCATCACATAGAGGCACAAAGGTGGACCATCAACATAATATATTTGAAGTTAAGTACATCAGGAAATACAAAAGTTATGATCCTTATATTATTGTACAAAATGCTAAACAAGTGTATTACGTTTCATATCCATTGCGTAGAGACAAAGCTGATTGGTGGGTTGTTATAAAAAGTAAGCCTGTGGGAAGAATTGAAATTGACAATGTCTTTTTTGTGGCGTATCAAAATGATGTTGCAATTGTTCAACAACAAGTTGATGTTGGATTGGAAACCACACTACAACATCCTCAACACTTATTAGAAGAAGTATCTGATGATGAGACTCTGAATGTTGAGGAAGAAATATCTGAGAATGAGGAAAATGAATCATTTGATGATGAAGAATGGGACGATAATGAAAATGAAACAACTGAGGAGGAAGAATGGGAGAATGATGGAATTGAAACAAGCGAGGAGGAATAGTGTAGAATGAAAGCTAGCTAGTATATATATGTAAGTGTATTTTGTTAATTTTATTTAATTTATGATTTTTATACATATTATACATGTAAATTTGCAAACATATGTCATCAGGTGGTGACGGTGATAGACATCGCGAGCATCTTGGAGTTAGCCAGACTAAATAGGCTAAGAAGAAGAAGTCTAGGAGACCGATAGATCTTGAGGATATTGCAGGATCTATTTCTTCTGCGCTAGAGCGCATCAACCATGATACTCATTTATTTTCTGTTCCGTTTGGTACTGCGGATCCTCGGTAATATTATCATAATTACCGTCGACCAATCGGTGTTTCATCTACTTCACATGCATTGCCTTCACGACGCTACGAGGACCTACCTTTACAGGCTATTCGTCGAGCACGACCCCTATCGGCAGATACTCCATCTCTCACAGGTACATCTCCTCAGTTATCTGCCATGAGGCTTGGAGATTCTAGTAGCGAGCAGTCAGATGCTATGGCTGGTACACCTTCATTGACTCAACGTTTTGTGCATCCTGATGTATCGCCCTCGTCTACAACTACACTTAGTGCTACACCAGATGATACGATACCTGCTCTAGCTCTTGGCCAGAAGGACAGACTTAGTAGAGTCATGATTGAGCCGGATGGATCATCGTAAGTTTGTTTTGTTATCTATTTGTTAGTTTATTTTATTTATTTCGTATACTTTAATATATTATTCATGAACTAACATATTTATTATGTGTTTTTCAAGTGGCATCCTACAAAGGATGTTGCTCGGGCTTTAAAAGCCTGTGTTAGAAGACTCTATACACAAGCTTATCACTCTTGGAGCGAGATTCCAAATAGTCTACGCGAGGCGATGTTTAATAACTTTAAGGTATATATTTTTTAGTTAAGTTTAGTATACTTTACTTTTTTTACTATTGATCTAATTAACGTTATTCAATTTTTTTTCAAACTATGTGTACTTGGGAGTCGAGGTACAATTTGGTCATTGGGGCCACATTTGAGAGGAAGGCATCCACCAGACTGTCTAGCTGGCTAAAGAAAGTTCGGGACAGTGGTGAACGTCCCAGTTAGATATTGCATCATGTTTTTGAGGAATTGGGTCAGTATTGGAACACAGATAAGTTTAAGGCAATATCAGATCAAGCCAAAAAGGCTAGAGGCAGTCTTAAAGGTGGCTCGTTGCACACCGGAGGTGCAAAGACGGTTGGAACAATTGCATGAGAGATGATAAGTTCTAATTCAAACTTTTAAATAAATAATTAGTTGATCCATCTATATCGTTATAAATTTTAGTTTTTATTTATAGGAAAAAGAATTGGGACGCACTCCCATTGAACCGGAGGTTTTCAAGAAGACTCATGTATGGAAGAAAGAAAATGAGTCGGATCCGGATGTGTGGGTGGGGGAAAGGGCCGAACAAACTTTTGTAAGTTATTTAATATGAATAATATCTATTAATAGTGAATATATTTATGATATGTATATATATTGATGTCAATTTTTATATTTAATAAGCAGAATGACTTTCATCAGTATGTCACTGAGAATCTAGATAGTTCGGTCCAATTGACACCTGAACTTTTCACCCAGATTTGAAAAGAAAAAGTGGAAGGGGGGACACGCAAGGGTAGAGTCTATGGTCTAGGCTCTCGAAACGAGGTAAAACAACTCCAGTCAGGCTTAGAAGGTATTGGATTGTCACGTCAAGCCGAGGCACTTGACGGTGTTCAGATTGTTGCTATGTCGGATCAAATAGCTAAACTTACAGCGGCACTAGCAGAGTCGGAGCGGAGAAGAGTAGCTGAACAAGAAAGAATGAGTGAGACCGTTCAGCAAATCAAAGAATAAGTGATGAACCTCGCTCGTCGACCTACTACTTCGACTCCCGATAACACCGACAACGAGAGTGATGAGGATGATTATGTAGATCCCACTCCATAGTTTAGATCTCTGGACATTTATGAACTTTTTGAAATTTTGAAATGAATTTTGGAAGACTTTATAAGTCTTTAATTTGTGATTTAGATACTTTTGAATGTTATTTTAAGTTTGTTGTTTTATGTTTTGTTTAGATTATTTATAATTGTGTGTTTTTGATTGGGCAAAATAGTGTAGAATTGAATTGAATTGCATTTGCAGGTGGGCAGCAGAAATTGCCAGTTTTGGCTGTCAAAAATATTGCAAGAAAAGCGACGGACAGCGTGGTTTTGTCCATCGCTTTTCTGGTTTTTTTCTAAAAAAAAATCCCAGAAAAGCGACGGACAGAGTGGTTTTGTCCGTCGCTTTTCAAGGATTTTCAAAAATAAAATTTCCAGAAAAGCGACGGACTGCGTCGCCTTTTAGAAAAAAAATAAATTAAAATAAAGCGACGGAATCCGTTGCTTTTGTTAAAAAAAATCAAAAAGCGTCGAGTTAAAAAGTGACGGAGGTGATTACGTCGCTTTTCCGTCGATTTTGACCAAAAAAGCGACGCAGTCCGTCGCTCTTGGCCGTCGTTTTTTGACATTTTTTTATTAGTGAAAGAACCAAGTTGGCGAGAGAAAGGAGCAGTCGGTGGATTGCCGAGTGGTTCCGCGATGCAGTGTTGGATCGCCAAAAGTTATAGACCTTGAGGATGCTGAAGGCCAAGGCAGAAGGGTGATAGAAGTGACAAAAGGGCGGATCGCCGAGTGGATCGGCGAGCCCGACTTACTACGCCGAGTGGCTCTTGCAGCACATTTTTGGCGACTATAAATACATTTTTAAACATTTAGTTTAGTATCATTATTCATCCTAAATAGTATATGTGTTCATATTTTGAGAGTTTTGAACTGAGAGACAAGTTTATAATCACAAGTTCATTTCACATGCTTCATATTATACATTGCACAATATGACGCTACAAGCAATAAACATGCATATATGCATAACCCAAAAACATATAACCATCACCTACCTCGAATCAAACCTCTTGAAAATTCTAAATAGCTCGAGCTTTTTCCTTACGAAGTTTCTTGGCTTGTTATTTGTATAGAATAAATAATATAAAAAATAATCAATCACAAATTAAAAGGCCTAATAATTTATCCGAATTACTAACAAATTCCAACCCCAACCAAAATGTGATCATTTTCCCAATCTAGGGCTCCTTCCCATCATGAATTCATACTCAAAATCTCAATTCTAATAAGTATGATAAAAATAAAATGTTAGCTTGTCATCAACTAAGTCTCAGCGGAATTCATAAACGTGATTGTGAAAGCAATCACTTAAACTTGTCATCGAGTACACTTGCTTGTTTGTGGAATAACAAACATTTAATGCATAGTGATATTTGGAGTTTCATTCATATTTTACCAAGGATGGAATATAAGTACTTTGTATTATTCATTTATCATGTTCTAAAAATACATGAGATTTTTTATTTGAATAAATTTGTTATGAATTTTGTTGAACTTTTTCATACACAATTTTATCAAGTCATGAAAATATTTCATTTGAATTTTTGGAAAGAATACATTAATTAATATTACTGAGCTTTCCAAAAAGTAAAGGAATTATTTTTAATGCACTTGTCATCATATTCCCAAAGAATATCCCTCTTATATAACGTATTTTATTGTCACTCCGAATATTTAGATATGTTATTTTCTTTAAAGGTCAATTTTTATAGACACAATTCTAATCATGCTTCAAATTTTTTTTGGACAAATTTAATGAAGATATGGTAACTACTGACCCTCTATGATAGCCCATGAACCAATGATAATAATGGTCTTCATTCTTCTTGTCTAAACGGTATCAACTCTACATCATCTTCATCTTTGAAAGAGGGCTCACCTCATCAAGTTACTTCCTCATGTTGTCTAAAAATATAAATCGTCATATTTTTGAATGACTTATTTACTCTCCAAACAAATTTGATAAGTCTTATGTCTCACCTACCACACTACATTATGTTGATGTACTTGAGGTCTTGTTCCGAAATTTTTACACAAATCTGTAGAAAAAAAGACAATATTAAAAGAGCTTTGTGCACTAAATTAGTATTCTACTTGAGACTTTGTTGACAAACCAACATATGGAGTTTTCATTGAAAGTAACAAGACGTATTCGATTAAATTTAAGGTAGATGGTACATTGACCGCTACAAAGTTTGAAAGGTTTATCAAGATTCAAGTGTACAAACATGAGCATGGGATAGATTATGAGAAAATTTATGTATCTATTGCTAAGATCACAATGATACGAGCATTGTTAATTGTGGCTTCACTAAAAGACTGGACTTTACACATATGTATATGCAAAATGTATTTCTTCTTGACGGCCTACAAGAAGTTGTATTTATGATTTACACCTAGGTATGTCTAGCCAAGATCAAATGCATTTTGTCATCTTTCGAAATCTCTATGACTCAAAATAAGTTTGTTGAATTTTATTTGATAAATTTCTAATCAACAATTCAAATTGCGGGATTTTCTCAAAAGCTCTTAAGATCATTCCTTGTTTCTTCGTACTTCTTCGATATGTATCATATTTAATGCCTTTCATTTATGTTGATGATATCATTATCACATGAAATAATTCATGTATAAAATATAGTATACTAAGTTAAAAGAATTTTTGCATACCTCATTTAAGATGAAATATTTGAGATTACTGTGGACATAAATACTTTCCTATGAGGATTATGCTTACACAACAAAATCATGCTAGTGATCTTGTTGCAATGACTAATCTTAATAATAACAATGTTGTATACACTTTAATGGAGATTATTACAAAGTACGAGGTTGAATAATCATTCAATTCAATGTTTTATCGGCAGTTAATGGGATGTCAGTAGCGAGTTCTAAAATTATTTGACTACAACACCTATTATCTGAGTTCGATGGTGTTATTATAACTCTTATGATGTTGCACATTGATACATTTAGTGCGATTAAAATAGCAACAAACCTAGTGGAACATAAAAATACAAAGCATATAGAGGTGGACTGACATTACATTTAGGAATTGGTTGTCAATCGTCTCATTTCTTCTCATGATCAGCTTGTCGATTTGTTTATAAAGGCAATGACACGCACACAACATCACTATCTTATCTCCAAATTTCTACAATGTTTATCGGTATCAATTCGAGGAGGGGGTGGATGTTAGGCAATGCTATAATCGTAATGGTATCACAAAATATATTATTTCTTGAAATATGACTTAATTACCGATGATATAGTTATAACAATATATACACCTTCCTTGAATATGACCTTTAACCCTACCATTTTGTATAGCTATAAGCAGTGGTGGAGCCACGTATACTTGAGAGGTATCATTGATACTATTTTGTCAAAAAATTACATTGTACAACTAGGTTAAAATATATTTTTATGTATACATACTACATATTGACATTCCTTTGCTTCTTTGTGAATTTAATACTTCTTTATATTTTGATACCCCTAAATGAAACTACTGACTATAAGTATTTCCTATTGTATAATTGAAAGGATAGAAGACACTTGATGTCGCATATGTTATTCCTTTCTTTTCAATCATATTTTGACTTAATACAGAGTTGAAGAAAATAAAAAAGACTTTTGAATCTTATGATCTTAAATTGAAGATATGCAGATCATATGGTTGTAAACATATCATGTCAAAAGTAAAACTAAAAAATTGCCAAAAAAAGGAGACATTCTTTATTAAACGGAGTAAAAGGAGAAATAAGACAAACAAATTGAGTATGTATTATCAATCCCCATCTTATTCGAATGTGATAATTTCACTAGTAAAGCCAAAAAGCGTAATGCCGTGTTTAATGACATGATTCCCTTAATCGATCAATAGGATAGCAAATTCTTCACGGATTAAAGATCAGACATTGAAGAAGCTTAGTACATGGAGCCATTGAAGTTGGTTTGGATGTAACTTAACTTGTTGAGATACATGTTAAAATTTTATTTTTAAAAAAAGATAAACTATTAGTAGGATAGGAGGAGGTAGCTAGTATCCAATATATCAACAGAGTGGGGTGTCACGAGATTGCATATAGGAACAGTTCATTAATAAGGAAGTTTGCATAAGGTCGTTGCTTCAAACATTGTCTCCATTCCTCCAAGACAAATTGCACGTACCCAACCTCTTCACATGTGCACCCTTCCCTTTTATCAATTATCGTTACTACAAAACAATTCTCTCCATACATATTTATCTTGTCTCTTCCTCCTTACTATTTCTCTATTTTCATTTTTTCTTATATCTATATATAACCCTTTTCTTAATTATTACCTCAAACTAATAAACATATACTATATCTCCTCTCTTTCCTCTCTGTAATTTTTGGCATATCATCACTACCTTCCCTTTGTTAATTATTATAAGGGGTGTCTCATTTCATACCGTCTCGCAAAGTATATATTATCCTCACATATGTATAGATGTGTTGTGTAAATAGTAAAAACCAATATATATATACAGACAATAGTCTGACAAGTGATATCGCGTAAAAATCAAGTATTGATTTGAGACAAAGTAATATATATATTTTAAAGACTATATACCACACTTGATGGAGGTTCTCAACCACTTGAGCAAACCTCACTAACTAATACTCCTATGTAAAAATCGTGTTTCTTATGGATTGGTGCTGCTAGTTGATTTCTAATAAAGATGAAACTCTTTGATCATTGCCTCGTGATATTTAGCAATAGCAAAGTCAAGGAAATAAGATAATTATGTTTGAAACAAAAAACGACCAAGACTTGGAGGTTCTTTAGAGATGGATGTATGAAACAAAGGCAACAAGTAGTGTTTTTCTTTCATTCAAAATTTCACATAATTAGGGAAGGCAAAAGTTTACCCCTGAGAATACAAATTGTGAGTCACGTGAGTTAGAGAGTATCACTTCGGGAAAGTACATTCACATGCAAATGTGACAAAAAACAAAGCAAAATCATGTATTTAAATTGCAAAAGTTTGAGTCATAAAGAGAGAATGTACGGGAATGGTAGGGTCCTTGTTTCAACCAAATGACAAAACAGTGTCTTTGAACTTTATTAACAACCTTTCCTCAACATTCAATATTTCAGAAAAAGTATAACGCGCGCTCCCACAGGTGTACCTATAAGCCTCTTAATACATACATTCTCCCAGTAAAATCTCTTATACTCTAATATAATCTTCTATAAGCCACACAACTCTGTACAGCTTTGATATTTTGTACACTTGTAACAGAGTACTTATCTGAGATAGTATTGTAAGGCTTCACAGGAACCATGGGAGTCTCTCCTACCCAATCTTGGATAGCACAGGCTGTAGTGTAAGGACCATTGCTTCCTCCTGTGGACAATGTGTGTGGTTTTTCTTACACTTTTAAGGTTTTTTGTTTCACACAACATTGATCACCGCTTGAAGGAATATTTGGGTCATTATAAGATCCTGCAAATAGAAATGAATATAAGTCACTATTTCACAAGACATTAGGAATATGTATGTTCCCCACTTCCTACGACATCTTGCCATATTTTCTCAAGGAACAAATTGATCAAGCGCCAGATAAGATGGTTATAGGCAATACTCATTTGCATTGCTGGACCATGGATCGAACAAAGAATCCAAAACACATAGGTCCTGTTGATACTTGTTCAGACGTATAAACGCAAATCTAATGGCCCCCATTTGTTTCATGTCTAGTCATATGCAATTCTTGCCATTTAAATCTAACTTAGTTCAAGATCACACATATTTTGCTAAAACTATCTAGTGCACAATGGCATTAAAGAGAAAGGAGAACTGTGGTCTTGTCAAGTGCATCTTCTAAAATAGATTGATTGTGACAGATGGTTGCCCTAAATTCAGGTCAAGGGCTGGATTAAAACTTGAATACAAATCAAAATTTACCAATCCTTTTAAGAAGTAAGAAATCCAAATGACCTAACTTCAAGATTAATAGGAAAAACAACAGGATCTTGTGTGCCAATGGCAACTTTGCATGGGGCATCCAGATTGTTTTTCCATTCTGATGCCCCTTAATGAATTTACAACAATATAGATTAACTCACTCGCTGGCAATGTTTAAGATCCCATTAAACAAGAGACCTTTCACTTAGCATAACTATGGCTTTCTAGTGGAAATGTAACATAAATTACATGTAACAACCATGTAAGAATTCTGTCAACTTTCTTAGAAGAAGATTTCTAAAAGGTCAGCAATCTAAGAAAACATATATGTAAAGACGTTATGGACAATTTCCTGATAATAGTTATCTCAAGACCTTACAGCATATGATAAATTTTGAAATCTAATCAGCAAATTTGACTTGTATTTATTTCCCAACTTCAGCATCCTCAGCAGACTCGAGAGTGGAATTGAGGATTGATATAGCCCCAGCTTGATGTAATACCTCAGCAGCCTCATCTGCAGTATAAGAATGAGCACTAGACACTACATCCATTGAAGCCCATATACAATCACAGATAACAAGTGCCTCAGCAAGGTTCAGTAACATCTGACACTAATGGAAGGTGTCAATTTGAAGCTAACCAAACATCAGGCCTAGCAACATATATGTAGTATCATCAGGCAATTGATCTTAATCTCCGATTAGTTTCATCAGCCAAAAAAGGATAAGGAAGCAAGGGCCACACAAATAAAATAAGAAGTCTTCATACATCTAAAGTTAAACACTACACAAAACTGACTCAAGTTGTACAGCTTGCATTTGCCTTAAATACACATGTAACAAGCCACAAGCACCAGAGAATTTCTTGTTTAAGCTGAGAATTCTTTAGCCTGGGGCCTGGGTTGATTTCTCAAGTACCAGCGCCAAGTTTGGCCTGGCTTCAACTAGCAAACCATGCAATTAAAGTGAATTTTTGTCTCAGAAGACGTGAAATGTTAATTACTATGCATCATAACAAATACAGGGTAGTCACAGACACTATGTAACTAATCCTAGTAGTATCTGAGGTTTCTCTGACAAAAGTAAATCCAAATTTGTCTAATCCAAACAGCTTCACTGATAAAACCAAGTCCACAAAATTATAGAAGACTTCTAGTCCAGCTACTTCATTTTGTCTATTAACTTTGTGCTTAACAGTTTGGCGGTATAATTAAAAGGCATTTAGGGCGAATTTTTCCAAGGAAACGTCGAGCATACAATTAGTCTATAGCACAGAAGCATGTATCGTTGTGGAAATGCCCAGAGATTGTTCAATCACAAAATTCTGGGGTGCCAATAGGTGGAAGAACTACCAAGAGGTTCAACCAGTAAGCAGACTCCTCTGTTATTTTAAGTTGATTTGAAGTTTTGATGATTTAACAAACTTCCGGATCTAACAAGAGGACCTGGTTGAGGAAAGACTACGCACACGAAAAAGACAAAAGACAGCTGTCTAAAAACTGTCACAACTGTCATGGTTGGTGCACAACTTTTCAAAATAGCAGGCTCTCAGCCAATGGCCTTGTCCGAAGGGTTTGTGTCCATTTGAATATAGTCTCTTCTCCAAAGACACAACTTAAGATTTGGCAAACAAAGTTTTGAATTCTGAAAATTCATAAGCTTACAAAGAAAAAACCATCTTCAAGGAAGAACACTGCTCATAGTCAACAAGGGACCTGATGGAGTGCTAAAGCATCTTTGTTGTATTTTGAGTTGTGTCTTATGTTCTTATATTGTAAATCTACTCATAAGTTATAAAGGATAGTAAATCGGTTGCTTGTCTAAGTTTTTAGTTTGAGTCGTATTAACTAGAGTTAGTTAGTCGAATCATCTATCTTTTAGTCAAACCCCTTTACATCATTGTTTTGATGTTCTCTTGGATAGAATTGCCTAGGAGTGTCAACTAGAGTTAGTTGATGTGGGGGTGCAACAGAGTTGTTGCTTGTTTAGCTCTTATCTTCAAGATCTAAGTTGGTGGCTAGAGTTAGCCTTGTTGGGTTCTTAAAGTCTAGATCAACTAGAGTTAGTTGGTTTAGTGGGCAATAGAGTTATTGCTTAGTTTCCTTTGTAGTAGAGTTGCTACAGTAAGGGGGAAGAGATTAAAGAGTTTTAATTCCTAGGTTGCAAGAGTTTGTAATCTGAAACTTTGCTCCGTTTGAGTGAAATGGAGTTTGGGTTGAAATCTTGTGCGTACAGGTCGTGGTTTTCACATCCCTTGAGCAAGGGGGTTTCACGTAAAATCCTTGTGCCTGATCTAATTTGAGCTATTTATTTTCCGCACTATTATTCTGTTTGTGGACTTGGTCCAGTGATCATTAGTGGACGCATACATTCTAACATCCTCTCATTAACATTTCTTTACAATGTGAAGTAGGGTAACATTCTCTGACAACTAAATGATTTTTTTCAATTAAAGTTCTATGTCTAGATTCACGAAAATAGCACCAGATTGATGGTGTGATAAAAAAGGAAGTTGTCTAGATGTTTTCTTCACTCAGTGTTATAATCCCTCTATTTCAATTTATTTGTCCTAGTTTGATTGAGCACGGAGTTTATGAAAGTAAAGAAGACTTTTGAATCTTGTGGTCTTACACTAAAGATATTAATACTATACCAAAATGTTTTTTAATCCTGTGGTCTTAACTCTTAAGCATGTCATGTGAACTGTTGAAATTAAAGAGTTGTCAAATAAGAAAGAGACATTCTTTTTTGGAAATAGTACGTGAAAAGACTATTCCGTAAACTTAATTACTAAAAAATGGTCAGTTTCTTCTTCGACCTTCATCTTCTTCTTTTGCTTTCATCGTCGTCGTCCTCCTCCTCCTCCTCCTTCTTCTGCTATTGTTATTGCTACTTCATCCTTCTTCGTCGTCTTCTTCTTCTTTAAAATTCAACATACCAAAAACATGAATCGTTTCGAGCAAATTATATATCAAAAGACTCAAAACATCGAGAGGATTTTATATCTAAAATTTGGGACTCTTTTAGAGATGATTTTGAGTTGATTGAGATTGAATAGTTAGAGTATACTTCATTTATAATCAGTGTATACTTCATGTATAGTTAAGCTATATTCAGCTTTTTGAGCGTATCATAATGTATAGTCAGTGTATAACTCATGTATAGTCAGTGTATACTTCATGTATAGTTAAGCTATATTCAGTTTTTTGAGTGTATCATAATGTATAGTCAATGTATAACTCATGTATAAGTAAGCTATATTATATAATCAGTGTATACTTTCTATGACTTTTGGTAAGCTATAGTGTATAGCCAGTGTGTATTTTCTATGACTTTTGGCTATTTTTGTTGTAAACAAAAACATGGCTATATTTGTTGTAAGCTAATCACTTTATTGTATATATTTGAAACTATCACTTCTTTTTTAAAGAGACAAGAGACGAAAAGAAAGTAAGACAAACAATTGAAATAGAGTGAGTACAAAGTTATACCGAAAAGAGAGAAAAATGGAGTGATAAGCCGATAAAACTCATGTACTTCTCTTTAAATAATTACCAAGATGAAACAATTAATCAACACTTCTCAATGCAGCTTCTTGGTATATATTAAAGTTCTTCTTGAGAAGATGGACAATCACATAGAAAAGACTAGGATTTTCTGCACACAAAAAGGTCAATAAATAGTAATGAAGCATGGCTCATGAATGAACTCATGCATGCACAATATATTGTATTTGGCTTCAAGGAATGCAAAAGAAGTTGAGCAGTAGAAGAAAGGATATTGATATCGTGTTTCAGAAATTAATGATTGATGTAAAACACCGCAGAAAGGAAGTTCAAATTCACATAAATGTGAAGAACTCTTTGTGATATTTGGTTTCCCTGATAGACTAACAGTGTTCAGGTAGAGAGATATGTCCAAATAACACCAAAACAACACTTCCCAGAAAAATGCATCCACGGGACGAAAAATGACCTGCAGGCCTCGGACGGAGGGAAGAGGCTGGGTTGGCAGAATCAAGGGGGAATCCTCAAGGGTTTAATTTGCAAGATTGTCGGAAGGCTGATTTTGACGAGATCTCCTTTTCTCAATCTTGATAGAACATCGAAGCTACAGTAACAAGGATTCCTGTGATTTCATACTATACAAGGACAGAGAAAGGGAGTGGGTGTGGGTGAGCGAGGGGATTTGTAGCCAGGGAAGTAGGTGTCTAGGCTGTTGGGATTTACCGCAGGCAAACAAAAAGAAGATTATTGTGCCAAAAGTAAAGGTAAAGTAAAGGGAGTATCATGGAGAAGGAAACAGTAAAAGGGAGCTAGCCATTCATAGAGGAAGAAGAAGAAGAAGAAGAAGCGGAGTGGGTACAAACAAAATCTCGACTTTGGGGAGTTCATAAAGGTCTCTAATGAGGGAAATGAGAAGAGGGTGCTGGACAATTTTTGGGGACGTTGAGAAGAATAGCAGGGAGATAAACAAGGGATATGGGAGTGGAGAGGAAATTGGGGTCTGAGAACTTAATGGCCAAGGGGGGAGGAGGGGGGGATAAGGAGGAGGTGAAGAAAGAAAGCAAAGAGCATTGTTTATGGAATATAATAATTTTGTAGTATGCAAGGAAGACAAATGACCCATATAGGCAATGTAAAAGTGAGATTTAGGGAATGGGTGCATGGCCGATCTGCCTTCAAGATATGAAGATAAAGGTCACTGATACGATAGTAAGATCCTTGTAGGGGGACTGACTGAGCAATAGAACCATCCCAACTATGGAAAATGTCATGAAAGTATGTTACTATAGGATGACATAAAGCTGGAAATGAAAGAATGCATGAAGGGTCTCAATTCTCTATCAAAACAAAATCTATAAAGTTAGGAAGCACCACAGAATGGATTTTTGGGGGTGGGGGTTGCATGGGATGGTGACTGAGGAATTTGAGGATGAAATATTTTAGTAACGGCAAATACCGTGGACTACTGGGGTTATTTTAATGCTATAAGATAAAACAAAGAAGAGGGTTGGGTGCATGGAGTGCAATCCTTCTCGGTAGAAATGGAGGATCTTCAGTGCTTATAGATACAGATTACCAGTTAATTATTAATCTTCCTTTAACAGGTGCACAGTAGGCATGGACCAACAATGCGTCAAAGTTAAGTTTCATTAGATTCTTGTTATTCACTTCGTGGGAGGAGATGATGTGACATGATTCAAATCACACTTCTCAGATTAGAGTCAAACCATTTAGGCAACAATGATGATAATGACTACCCGATGTGGAATACTACCGACAATGGTTTCTTTACTAACAAGGCTGCCTGGGAACTTTTTAGAACCCACAAACCTAAGCATGAGTTCATGAACAAGATTTGACACTCGAAAGTCCCTTTCAAAGTTTCCTTTTTGACTTGGAGAATTATTAAAAAAAATCTGCCCTTTCAAGACACTTTACATAGATTTGGAATAAACAGAAATTTAACTTGTTTTTGTTGCAGGATCTCACAACCAGAAACGCTACAACATGTATTTGTTGCTAGTGAAGCAGCCTTTTTTCTATAGAACGCTATTGGAAATCCTCTTGGGATCACTCACAGCAGGGGGGGGGAACCCAACCCTTCGTTGGAAAATTACATTGTATATAGAGGTCAAATTTTGGTTTAATATATATATATATATATATATATATATATATATATTAAACAT